TGTTTTTAACTGTGCATCTGATAGGTTGGCTATCTCTTGTTTGCTTAGAATTACTGGCCCTGGGGCTTTGAGCTGTTCTCGAGCCATAATATTTTGGTCTGTTTGTTCCTATTACATATGATGGGCGGAGCCTTAGGTGTTCACCAGGGCAGGGCAACTCAGTTGCTGGGTTGTGATGCTGTATGTGGGTGCAGGGTCAGAGTGGGGGCAATGGCAATCCCCTCTGCTGCTTCCCGCAAGCCACTGGGGTCTGCGTGGTCTGTCTCACTTCTCGCTCCTTCACCTGGTTTATCTGCGCATGAATGTGTGACCTCGGTCAGCCAGCCGTCTTGCGCCCTCACTGTGTTTGCCCGTTGCCACCCTGCACCTGGGGTCTGCCAACCACCACCTGTGGGCCTGGGTTGGTCTGGCCAATTGTTCCTGCAGACCCCACTCCGCCAGCCACTGGCTCCGCCCCTCTTACTGGTCTGGCTGAATGGTTCATTGTTGTCGGACTTCCATGCAGTTCAATTTTCTGTGTTTTGGTTGCATTTTTGTTACTAAAACTTTGTTGTCTTTATACTTGGTTGTGCAAGGAGGCACAGTGTTTCCACCTACACCTCCATCTTGGCTGGAAGTCTCAAGATCTTTCTTCTTTTTAAATATAGGTGATTATATCTACCAATTTGCTTGTACGCACTGCTTTAGCTGCATCCCCTAAGTTTTAGTATGTTGTTTTTATTTTCATTCAGGTATGCTCTAACTTCTCTTGTGATTTTTCAAGTCAGAAGTTATTTAGGAGCATGTTGTTTCATTTCCATATATTTGTGAATTTCCCAAATCTTCATGTTATTGACTTCTAATTTCATTCCATGTATCAGACAACATATTTTGTATAATTTCAATCCTTTTAAACTTACTGAAGCTTGTTTTATAACCAAATATAAAATTTAAACATATTGCCCTGGCTGGTGTAGCTCAGTGGATTGAGCGCGGGCCTTCGAACCAAAGGATTGGGGTTCGATTCCCAATCGAACATGCCTCGGTTGCTAGGCTAGTTCCTAGCAGGGGACACATGGGAGGCAGGCATACATTGATGTTTCTGTCCCTCTCTCCTTCCCTTCCCCTCTAAAGATAAACTCTTTAAAAAATTTTTAAACATATGCATATAAGGAAAAAACACAAACAAGGTAAAAAAGGCAAATTACAAGTTAGGGGGAAAATTGCAACTTATATCACAGACGAAGTGTTAATATGATAGAATAGGCATGCTCTTACGTTCCTGGAGGGAATGCAAAATTATACAATCCACGCAAAGGGAAATTTACCAATATCGAGAAAAATTACATCTGCACTTTTTCTCTTAGCCAACTCTCTGGCTTTTAAAAACTTTTATGCCAAAGATACAATAGCAAATGTGCAAAATGATGTCTATACAACACAACTCATTGCAGCATTATTGCCAAGGAAGCAATCCAAATGTCCATATACAGAAAACTGACTAAGTAGATAGAGAAATTCACACAACAGAGTCTTATGCAGTGGTAACAAGGAAAGGAAAAGTTCTGTATTTTTCAGAGTCATATCCCATTGTTCTGTTATTCTCAGGAAAGCTCATACCCCAAGGTGGTGTACACAACATCCCAGCAACCCCATAGCCCTGTGTGCTGGATCTGCATCACATCACACATCCTAAAGGTAGGGAGACAAAGAGGTTCAGCTGAGGGCAAATGAGGAGCTGAAGTGTGTGCCCCCAAGTGGAAGCTCTGGAGCAGTGCAATGAAGGCTTGGCTCTGACCATTAAGTGCAAGTGTTTATGGAAGAGGGACAGGCCCACACCTCTCCTGCCTTCTACCATGCTCTCAGGTCACACTGTCATGGACTATCCTGATGCCCTTTCATAGTCTCCATGAATCCATAAATACTGATGGTGTGGGCAGAACCTTAAAGGTGTCCCACCTCCATTTTCCCATCCTCCCAGGGGAAGCCCACCCTGTACCTTCCTATTGCAGAACTTGGGCAAGGCAGAGGTGATGAGGTGTCAGCCCTGGAAAGGGCAAACACAGGGTCAGACACAGGAAAACAGACTGACTTTCAGAAAAACACCTGAGGGTCTCTAGAGAGTATGAGATCAGAGATTAAAACCAGAGATTGTATTTTGCCAACTTCTGGAGAATATCTGTGCAAAGCAGTTCAGAGGCTTGGTTGTTTTAAATGAATGTCTTGTCAAAAAAAAAAAAACCTTAGTCAATATTTAGGCTCTTTTTTTATTTTAAGATTCTTGGCAGGAGTTTCCTTACAAAATGTTACTACGCTGGCAGAAGCCATAGTGTCTCAGATTTCCCTGGATCTCACATAAAAAGTCATTTCTCCTCTTCTTCTCTTTAAACAAGTAATTTATACTATGATGATGTTCTGAAACTTGCATTCCCCACTTAAATATTCTTCTGTGTTGGCACATGATAATCCAGCACATCCTTTTTTGATGGTAGCACTGTGTTCTCACTGAATGACACCTAGGGCATTTTTAGTTTTTATTCTTCTCTGTGCTGCACTGAACATCCCTGTGTGTATATTTCTGCACACCTAGGAACTACATCTTCTGGTTAAATCTACTATACATCTCCATGGCACCTTCTGGACGTATAGCTGACCCCTGTGGCCCCAGACACCAGTACATGCAGGGTGGTCCCTGAGACATACCAGCTACCAACCCTCAGAAAGGCTATTCTCCCAAATTATTGGCAGAGGTCACCACTACCGCCACTGCCCAAGAAGTAATCTAAAGCAGGGACACACAGCTATGCCTGACTACAAAACTAGCTCCTCATGCCACTGCAATGATGGGGGCTAGGGGTTGGGGGTTAAAATATGGGGGGACTGGGAATGTGAGCCAGGTGGCCACTAGCCAGCTGGGAACTGGGGCCTGGCCTTACCACTGTCCTCAGCTGCCTGCACTCCTGCATTTCCACCCTGCCAAGCAGCTGGTTTTCTACTCTAAGTCTCCCCTAGGTCAATAGGGAGCTGCAGTGGAGGATATATAGAGAAGAAAGGAAAAGGGGAAGGAAGAGAGTAAATCCAAACAACAAAATAAAAGGTACAGTGGGGCAGATGAAGAGGGAAAAGTGGGATGTTGACATTGAGAAACTTCCAGAACTGTCTCTAAAATTTTGTTACTAACTTTATGGAGAAAAAGTCTCACTGTGCTCCATTTCAGAGGCTTCTATTTGCTAAGTGAGGTATGCCTCCCATTCATCAGTTTGACTTTAGAGCTGGCTTTTCCTATTGTGTACAAAAAATAATTTAAGTGTCAAAGAACTCCATTTCAGCCATCTTCACTTATAGTAAAACCTTACCATTTCTGTAAGTACTTGCAAGTAAAGACTCCCTATGGATTGTACATTGCAAGAGCACTTATGGGGATTGGGAGCTTGTTGGCCTTGGAAGCATCTTTTGAGATCTGCAGAGTCTGAACAAATTTCTAAGTGTATTGTATAGTAGATTGAAGTTTACTGTTTAATGGTTGAGGTCCAAGAGGCTGTCACCACCACAGTTGCTCCAACCCTCTTACATGACTCAGTTTCTCTCCCCAGCTGCCTGATACAACAATGAGGATGCAGAGCACTAGATAACCAGCATTCCCAGGTGAGTTCATTATTTGATTACAATTGTGCTGGAATTCCTTATGGGGTTCTGTTAGTCTTCAGGGGTACCCTTGGAAACCTCCATATAGATTCTTAGTCACCCAAAATACCCAAAATTCGAGCTGGAGGGAGTAAATGTCCCTAATCTTCAGAACTGAATAAGTTTAGACTCTCATTTATGTAGCACAGGGTTTTGTTTCAGACTCTTGGTAAGCAATTCCCATCAAGAAGCCAAAATAAAAACCAGCCCCCCAAATTTATTTGCATTTGTATAGTTAGTTTAATAAATTGAATTCAATGGGTACAATTGGAAACAGCTTTCTAGTTTTGAAAAAAATTGTCATTCTATTACAGTTGCCCCAATCTTCCCTTTTCCCTCCTCTGCCCATCCCACCCCCAGCACCCACTGTCAATCCCCACACTGCTGTCCATGTCCATGGGTCATTCATACATGTTCTTTGACTAGTCTCTTCTTCTTCTTTCCACCTTTATCCCTCTCCCCCTTCCCTTCTGATCACAGTCAGTCTGTTCCATGTTTCCATGCCTCTGGTTCTATTTTGCTCATTAGTTATTTTTGTTCATTAGGTTCCTCTTGTACATGAGATCATATCGTATTTGTCTTTCACTGACTGGCTTATTTCACTTACCATAATATTTTTCCTGTCCCTGGATTACCTCATTTGACCCTTAGCCTCAGCTAGGTTATCTCAATGCTTACTTATCCTTGCAGAAGTGTCCAGCCCACGGCTTGTACAGGCCACACTCAGCCCAGGATGTCTATGAATGTGGCCAACACAAAATCGTAAATTTACTTAAAAATTTTTTTTTTGCTTATCAGTTTTTGTTAGTGTTTGTGGGTTCAATGTGTGGCCCAAGACAACTCTTCCAGTGAGGCCAGAGATGCCAAAAGGTTGAATACCCTTGCTAGTGCCACCTTGAGGATTTGCTTTTAAGTACAGCTCCAATAAAGTCAGGGCCTAAACAGGTAGGTCCAGAATTCCAAGAAAACTCACTCAAGTTCACTTGATGCAAAGTAAAGAACATAGGGGCTCAATGGGCCCCTGCTAAGACCTAGCACCCAGTCCAGGTACACAGGGTGGTCCTGGGTAGCCTTCATTGGAACCCTGCTCACTGTGCAAAGTAAATATCGATGTAAGAAATGTGCAGTAGATTGAGCACAGGCCTGTGAATCAAAGCTCGCAGTTCGATTCCCAGTCAGGGCACATGCCTGGGTTGAAGGCCAGTTCCCATCAGGGGACACACAAGAGGCAACCATACATTGATATTTCTCTCCCTCCCACCTTCCCTTCCCCTCTAAAGATAAATAAATGAAATTTTAAAAAAAGAAAAGAAAAAAGAAATGTCCAAACCTGTAGAGAATTTTTATGAGTTTATTTGAGCGAATTGACAATCACTGGAAAGCAAAATCTCAACAGATTGGGAAAATACTCTGGAGAATGGCAGTTTTATGGCTTACTTTATATGTTACAATAAAAGGAGAGTTAGTTAGATTGGGTAAATTAAGAGGGCAGGAGAAAGCAAAGCAGAAAAATCTCTGGAACTGGAAAAAAAGTAAAATGAAGAGACACAAACTTCTCTTGGGTGACACTTAATAATTAACATTTACAGCACACAAAGATGGTATGCAGGGGATAAGATAACAATGAGGGGTTCTGTGCTCTCCAGCTCTAGTGCCTACATTGTGCCCTGAGGAAACTGGAAGAGATTACTCTGACATTTCAAAAGTATGTTATCTTAGATGCACAAAGACAACAGCCATGCTCACTTAAGTTAAACACTGACCTTTATCAAAGAAGCTGCAGGCCTAAGACATAACTACCTGCCACAACTCACTTTCAGTTAGGAATTTTTTATGTTCAGACCATCCTATGTGGTTACTTTCCGCCTCTGAATTTGTAAGATCCACCATGCAGGCCTCCTCTGAGCTTGTCAGGTTTAGTATATGGCCCTGTTTTTGGCCACATAAGGCTGCCACTGATATTCCTGTGAATAGAAGTTTTATTGTTTTTATGATTCATTCCTTGGATAGATTCACCACACAGAGTGCTATTTTAAGAAAGATCCACTTAGAATCATGTCCTTGTTGTCAAATCTAAACCTGAGTACATGGTCATCGTTGCTGCAGCCACAGTCTCACCCACAAAACCCAAGGTTCCCTCATAAGATTTCAAGGGTTTAAGGCATTATTCCCGAGCCTCATGTCCAGGGTTCAGATCTTATCTCCACCACTGGCATTACGAGGCAAGGTGCTTAAACTCTCTTGTGAAGTAGTATAGAAACTTCTCAATAAATATCAGACTCCATCATCTCAGACTGGCTGTTACCATTCCACAAAGTTTGAAGATCCTAGACGTGGAAATTGGGCAGCCTTTACCCTATTGTCTGCTAACCCCTGATTTGTGCAATATTGGGTCTATATATGAATCTACATGTTTTCTGGAGAAAAGGGGGTTGTATACAGCTTGAAGTGGTCAGGTATCCAGAAAAAAACAAAAACCCCTATCACAGATGACAATTCAAATGTTGTCAGATAGGGTTAGTTTTTGAATGAAAGAAGACTGTCTTAGGCTGACCCAGGGAATCCCACTAACTGTTGCCATAGGCCCTTTCTCTGTCTATCTTAGTCAGAGTCAGAGCCTGAGCCTTGTCAAAAAGCAAAACACCAGACCTTTGTCCTTGAGGTCTACATACCAAGTCTGCATTTATCTTTTAGGATTTCTTTTAGGCAAGATCTTTTAGGATTTCTTTAGGAAAAACCTAAAAACTTCTGAAATGTTAAGGCCTGCCCTTAGACCACCCTGGTGGGATGGGCAGGCTGTATAGACCAGTGTTCCACAAATTGTACCATGCACACAAAACTCATGGAGATCTTATTAAAATTCAGATTCTGACTCAGAAACCCTGAGGTAGATGCTAAGATTCTATATTTTCCACAAGCTCTTGGATAATACCAGCTACTGGCCTGTGAGCCTCATTTTAAACAGAAAGCTAGAGCATGCTGGCCCCACTCAACAAGCTCCCAGGAGCTAATCTGTGGGCCTCTTGACACCTCCTCTCCTGATACCCTCTCCCAAGTCCCTGCTTCCTGATGGCCACTTATCTCCTGAGTCCCCTCAGCCCAGCACACAGACCCTCCAGCTCACTGGTAGATACCAGCATCACTGTGATGATGAAGAGCAGCTTTGAATTTGACATGAAAGGGAAACCTCCATATCTGTAGCTTCTTGTTCCCTGGGCTCTGTGTACTGAGGTAATGGTTGCATTAGAACATGAGGTTTGGAATCACATCAGGGGAGAGTCCCCAAACACACAGCCCAGGTATGGGAGGGCTGGGACTAGTTCCCGGCTCTGTCTGGGAGCTGAGCTCAGTGGGCAGAGCCATCCTTACTGCTCCTTCTAGGCAGCCTGTGTGAAAGTACACCTTGGATGTCCAGGAAGCACCAGTTGGATCCAAACCCACCATCCAAGCTGAGTCTTTTCAGTGGGGAGAAATGACGGCAGAGACTTTAACCTCTAGGACAGTGGCAGGGGGGACCTCCCCATTCTCAGAGGGGTCCTGGGAATGTCTGGGAGTATTAGGACCAGGAAGCTGTCCTTTGGATTGGGGCCCTATCTGGGGCTGTTTGTGAACAGGAAGTGCTGGAGCTTGAAGAAGCCCATTACACAGCAGGGAGTTTGGTCGGAGATGGTCTGCCTGCCTGGAAGCAGCACAGTCTGGATGGAAATGGCAGAGTCATGTGTGGCTATGGGTGGCAAGTGTCAGGGGGGAATGCATTCGGGCATGGGTGGTTCTGGGGACCCTCCTCAAGGAGACTGAGAGCAGCAGGGAGCTGTCTAGAGGTCTGAGCAAGTGGGCAACCTGGTTAGTTTGTGACCTATAGTCAGGTGTGGAGATTAGAGGCATGAGTCAGGTCAGGCAGAGGCTTAGTGGAGTGGGGCGTAGCTGCATGGAGAAGGTGACAGGAGACCTGTGAGGATGAGGAGAGGGGACATAACTGGGGAGGGATATCGTGTCCTGGCTTCTCTGAAAGAAGTTCTGATGATCCCCCAACCCCTAGCTGAGCTCCTGGGCAAATGTGAGCAGGGTGCTGAGAAGGGTTGAGATTGGAGCTCTGGGAGTGGAGCCTTGGCGGGAGAACTGGTCTGAGAGCTGGATGGCTCAGGAGTGAATTCAGTGGGGGGCTTTGAGCAGGGATTCTCTGGATCCCTGATCTGTTTCCCTGTTTTAAAGTCCATGACTGGACCTGTGGGTTTTCCCCAGAGTCTGGGTAGTCCCTGGTGTGGGCAGAGGAAAGGTAGGGCCTTTGGGACAGCCTGGCCCACATCAGAGCTTCTGGGATGGGTATGGGGTGCCCAGCTCAGATGGACCCAGTTATGGGTTTTTCTTTCAAGGGGTACATGTGGGTTTGGGGCTGCCTTGCATTTGATGAGAGCAGAACATTCAGACGACAGGTATTTCTTCTCTATGGAAAAAGTGGTTGGCAAGTGTCTGGAGGGTGGCCCATCTGGAATTTCCAGGGCTCCTGGCCTTCCTCATTCAGTCAATGGAACTCAGAAGCTTTCTCAACCACCTGAAACAGAGACAAAAACAGGAGCCTTCCCCACCCCACACCAGCCTTTCAGTTTACAAAGGTCCTGCCACTCAGGATGTCACCGTGCCTTTCCTGAGTGCTCACAGAACAGGAATTAGTGTTCCACATCTGAAGAAAATAAGGCACTGAGTGGAGAAATGACTTGCCCAAGATAATGCAACTAGTCAGGGCAGGCCTGGAATTTCAATGGAGGTTGGTCTAAACCCCATGATGTCAATTTGTCTCAGAACTAGTCTTGGCAGGGCAGATTCAATACCACCTGGCCATGCTATGCTCTGTTCATCTCACCATTCAGGCAGAGGCCTCCTTTTTAAAAAAATTTATTTTTATTTTTAATTTTATTTTTAGAGAGAGGGAAAGAGAGGAGAAAGAAGGGGAAAGAGACATCAGTGTGTGAGAGAAATATGGACTGGCTGCCTCTTGCACTCCCCCAACCGTGGTATGACCTGCAACAACCTTTTGGTTTGCGGGATGATGCCCAACCCATTGAGCCACACCAGTCAGGGCAGGCAGAGGCCTCTTTTTGTGAGTGTCCAAAGCAGACTCAATTATCTTGGTGGTCTGTGGATTAACGGGCTTCCTGATGTCAGGAGCTGGTTCAGGCACTCAGCAGTTCTTTGAGCACCTATGTGCCTACATCCATTCTCTGCACCTGGAATATAGCAGTAAACAAAAATAGTCTTGCCTTCATGAGGGTTCTAGATTTTGACTTGGAATAAGAGTTCTACTTCCTTATGGTTGCAAGACTTGGATGAGGAAATCTCAACCCAAATCTGTTGACTCATCTGAAAAAGCAGATATTGAAAGGGTAGAAACAGACCTCCTTCAAAAGGTGGTAGAAGTATGAGGGATCCCTGGTGCCCCTGGAAATCACCAAACAGTATTCCCAACCTCTTCCCACAAACCCAATTAAAGGAACCGGGCCCAGAAAAACACCATGAGTTACCCAAAGTAACACACCAGTATCCCTGGCAGAGAGGGGACTCAACCCAAGCTCCTTCCTGCCCCTTAGACAGTTGACTACCTCTCTGCTCAGGGGATCCCACATTGGTCTGGAACAAAGTGATCATAACAGGAGTTGAGGTAACAGGTAGTGGGCAGTGTGTAGGCTTATCTTCCACCCCAGACCTGGAGACAAGTTGGGGAAAGCTAAGCAAGTGGGACCATCTGTGGGGATGTGGCCACCTAGGCTGGCTCCGGGCTCAAAAATAACCAGACCAGGCTTGGGTGCCACTGGCTCATTAGAGAAAACTGCTTAATGGTTTAGGAATATGTACGCCCTGGCTCTGCTAAGTTTCCATAAAGACAACTTTCCATGTTTTAAAAAATAGATTTGATATAAAGATTTATATATTCATAAACAGATAATGTGAAAATTCTCAAATACAAATGGCATCTTTGGGCTGGTTTAAGCCCTCTCCACTCCTAATAGTCCAGGCCAATAGGGCTGTGAGGACCCCTGAGGCCCCACACCTGGAAGCCCTTTCGGAGAAGAGTAACTGAATTCAATATGAATTGGGAGCTTCTTCCAGCTCCAGCTCTACTGGAGCTTGTGCCTTTGGGATCAAAACCCATCTGGGAGGACTGGGAACCTTCTCTCTGAGGAAGAATCAGGATATGTGTTCCTTGCCCCCCTGAGTCCAAGTCCCATAACCATAATACATCAACTTCCTTCTCGTTCTCCCTCAGCCCATGTCACATCAGCCTCATCCACACCACAGACTACCTTCCTCCAGGCCTGAGCTGCCATGACACTTCCAGGCTCTCCTTTCGATGCCCCATCTCCCACACCCTTGGCCCCTTACCCCACCTACTCCTATTTTTAGGTAATTTATTTAAAAAAGATTTAAGTGTTCCCTTGCCCCAGAGGCTGCTAGGAGAAAAAATGGAAACAAGTCTTGTTTCCTGTCTCAGATAGTTGCCCCATCTTCTCTCACCCTATCACAGGACTAAAACCTACAGATGTAGAAAGGCCCCAGCCTGATGGGTCACTACAGAGTAGGGACCTCACAAGGCATGGAGTCAATAACACACTGTTGGCCAGGCCCTGAGCACTAGCATTTGTGTAAAGTTGAGGGCCAGAAAACATCTCTTTTGGAGCCTATAGGAAATAGCCCAGGAAGTTGGGGGAAGAAAGTCACAGGCCAAGGGGTGGGGAAAGAACTCATTCTTGCTAGAGGGTACTATGAGCAAGAGATTAGCCTGGAGTGGAGCCAGTTCTCAGGAATGTCCAAATGGGTCATTGGTCATTTGTGGCATTGTAAGAGAACAAAAAGGGTAGGATCAGTAAGTGGGGGGAGGATAGGAAGGGGATAGCCTGAAAAGAGGTACTCCTGGGGAATAAGCAAGTACAGGAAAGAAACCAAGGTAGAGCTGTGAAGGTCTTGGACATCTGGGTCAAGTGTGGACAACATTCCAAGTACCCAAGGGCACCCTGGAAGGTGTTGGGGATGGGGTGGGGAGTGGCAGGGCCGGGAATGACCTTTCACAATTGACACTTAAGGCAACAGCAGGATAGCTTGGGGCAGTGAAGGCTAGAAGCCCAGGAGCCAAGGTCAATGAGATGTCCAGGTGAGAGGATGAGCCTGTTGGGAGTGGAGGGCATAGCACTGTGGAGCCCACAGCACTGTGGTAATGTGTGGAGAAAAAGTGAGGAGCCCAAAGTGAGCCCCAATTTCTAGGCTAAACCTCTAGAGTGAGGCTGCTCCAGGCATGGAGGATGAGGTAGCAAGAGATCCACTCAGCCCAGTATTTGACATCTTGGAATTTTGAAGGGGAGGAAGCAAAGTGTTTCCTTGATTTTTAAGTAAAGCAAGAAGTTACCAGTGAGAAGAAACCTCCTGGTCCCAGGCTAGACCCACTGTTCTTTCCCCCTTCTAAGCCAAACTGTGCAGGGTATCAGGCCTCCTAGCCTACAGGCAGAGAGGGAGAGAGGAGGAGATGGCTCACATTCCAAGGTAACAAATAAACCCATCGCCAGCCAGCTACCTGTTCCAGTGCCTATGCTGGATCCCTTTGCCAGCCAAGGATACCCATATGAAGGACAGGTAGAGGGGCCTCTCTCCTTCCCTAAGCTCTGTGAGGCTGGTGGGTAGAGTAGTCTGGCAGTTACCTGTGCTCTCAGCTAGAACTAGGGCTGCAAGTCAATCACAGGAGTGCAGGCCTACACCTCTGCTACAAGACCCTTTGCATGTACCCCCACCTTCCCAAAGCAGCAGGTGGGGCTTCATAAGAATTATCTTCCAGCTGGAGACCAAGTTCAATGCCCAGCCCTGCCCAAATATTAGTCCCTAGCAAAGAGGTCATGGGGCTGGAGAATCTTTGCCCTTGGCCTCAATGGAACCCTCTTTAGGGAACCCCTCAGTGACAGGTACTTTCTACTTTGCAGGTGGAACCCAGGCACTGAAATGGAGTAGCCAGGAAGACACCAACCCTCAATGCCAGCAATTGGGCCCCATCCATAAGTAAAGCCACTGAGGACAGAATGCAGGCAGCTTTCTTGCTCCCTGCTCCCACTCCACCCCAGCTAACAATGAGCTGATTCCCCTCAGTGTAGAGCCCTGGCCCAACCAGACCAACATCCCTTCTCTCCAGAACCAGGCTCAGAGATTCCATGGCTGCCTCCCTGTTGGAAAGGGAGTCACTGACCCAGCATGTCTCAGACTCAGCCATCCATGTCTCACCAGACTGCTGGAGGGCTACTACAAAAGGCCTGCCTTCTTGCTCTGCAGCCAATCCTGCCTGAGAGAGGGGGCAACACAGACCAAAGTGCTTGGAGCAGGAGGTAAGGGAAATCTGAGCTGGAATGCCACAGTCTGCCTTGGGGACCAAGACTGAGCCTGGGGTGCTACCTGGACTCTGATAAGCTTTGAGCTACCTCTCTATGATATGGCCAACCCCATGGCCCTAACAGCAGTTTATTTCCAAAGGTCCCACAACAAGGGGCCAAAAGGGCTGGACTGGGCTGACATGGAGGAACTGGGATTGGTTCAGGAAGTTCACCTAAATCCAATCCCTGCAATCTTCTGAGCTACACAACAGAATCCAGTGTTACTTCAAAGACTCCAATAATCTCGGTCTCGGCCTGCCTTCTTACCTAAGTACCTTGAGCACATTGAGGCTACTGAGGACAGGTGGGCCTAGAGTGGGTGAAACAGCCCAATCCAGAACTACCAAGGCTTTATCTTTTTTGTTTGAGAAACTCTATAAGACAGACTAGGAATGGTGGGAGAGCTGATGCTGTAAACATGACAGGAAAGATTTCTGCACATAGGTAAGACTGGGTCCTGAGGGACACTCTCAGACCTGATCCTCAAGGATGCAAGATTTTATTTTTCCCTTAAATATCCAGGTTCTATCTCATTTCCCCTACCCCCAAGTTTCTGAGACCCTGGTACTGAAGAATAAGCTAGTTTTGCAACCTGAGTGACAAAACTTTGGGCCCTAAGCAAGCAAACAGTACCCATTTGGATATTGACCCTACACTTTTGTGGATGAAAACAAGAAGCTACGTGGAAAACCAGAAAACTTGAGAGGTCTTGCTAAGGCAGCAAGCTGGACTCCATGGGGTCTATGAGCTTAGAGTTGGCAGTGAAAAATAAGTTTCTTTGCCTGGAAAGAGTTAGGACTTCCCTGGGACTATGGTCAGAAACCAGCCTATTGGGCTGGTTGCTCTTGCTCTCTGCAGCTGCATATTGAGGCCCTGGAATGACCTGAGCACAACCCACATTCCTGGAAAGCAGCAACCTGCTGCCACAGCTTTAGGAGATACAAGGTGTGAAATGGTCAGAACTAGTATGTATAGAACTGAGGAAGCACATTCCTGGCCACTCCACAGCTGCAGTCCACACTTATGAGCCTGGGCCTGTCCTAGGACAAGAATAACATGGAGAGAACAGCTGCTGACTGGCAGGATGGGCCCCACACTGTACCCTGTACCAATAGGCCTCTTGCCACAAGAATCCTATTTCTCCCTTCCATGGGGTAGCTTTTCTATCAAGCATCCAGGCCATGCGATGAATAATTCCAGGACTTTATCAAGCTTCTCTAGAATCACCGGTACCATAGAGGGCCAACTCTGAAGGGTTGGGCTTGGCAGACCAGAGAGAGGAGATGGAGAGGCCCCTGCCTGCCTGCCTGTTTGCCTGCCCTGTACCCCAGTCAGCACCCACAGCCCCAACTTTCTCCAATGTCCTTGCTATCCAGCTGGATGTGGTCGGTGCTCTTCTCACTGAGCAGAGGACCCCCATGCCTCATGACCAGCTCAGTGGCTACCCTCATGAAGGCCTCTTCCACGTTGCTTGAGTCCTTGGCAGACGTCTCAATGGCACACAGGATGTCGTAGTGCTCTGCTAGGCTCTGTGCCTCAGCCAAAGGGACCTCTCGGAGCGCACCAAGGTCTGACTTGTTCCCTGCAGGGAAAGGTCACGAGCAACTTGGTGAGGCCAATTGGTGTAAGGAAACCCCTTTCCTACTTGGAAAGCCAAACTGAGAAATCCAGTTGTGTAGAGTAATCTATCTTTTTTAAAAAGAAAGCCTGAAGGGAGCAGAGATTAAGGAAAAATGGAAAAAGTACTCATGGACTGGGACAACAGTGTCATGATTGTTGGGGGCGGGGAGAATAAAGGGACTAAATGGTAATGGGGAAAAATACAATGAAGATAAAAAGATTAAATCAAATAAATAAATAAACCTTTTTATTTTCAAGCTGTTATTCTATCCTTTAGTTTCTCATTAAAAAAAATCTTTCTCAAAGGCTTATATATCTTATTACTTCTTTCTAAGAAGTAAAAGCAGTAAAGTTTAAGTTAAAGAATATGATACTTTAAAGCTAGAAGAAAACCTAGGTAGAAACTCTGGCTTCCTATCACTTAGGGAAGTCACTTCATCTGAGTCTCAATTTCCTTGTCTGTGATGCTATTTTCAGCAGAGTAGATTAAATGACAACAAATATGAAAATAATTGGCACTTGGTAGGTACTCTATAAATGTGGAAGAAATCTGGTACTGCTAAATTTTTTGTTAAAATTTCATTATGCTTATTGCTTACTGTCTCCTATTTTCCTTTGAAGTATTTTTATTCTCTGTAAGACTGTGGTTTTTGGTTATTTTGCTTTTCTAATGATAAGAAGACAGACTACCACTTTACCTGAGAATATACCTTTGGCTTCTCCTAGAGGGGTGAGATATTTCAGTACATTCCAAATCATGTGGTAAACTGCTCCTTGACCCAATCACTAACAGAATTTTTTAAAGTTTCTAAGTGGTTGACTTTTGTAATGTGATTATAAAGAGAACAAAAAAAGACAAACAACTGTCTATAAATACCTAAAATTTCTTTGGTAACTTTAAATGATGCAGCAACCAATTTCAATGTGTAAAACATCCTAATTTCAATAAACTAAAAACAAAAAACAAAAAAAACACACACTGTTTATGAAAAATTATAAATCTAAATATAGCTACTTGATTTTATTCAGGATATGTCCATATTTTTAGATGTGAAAGTGATATTGTTTTTATATATTTTTATCTTTTATTGATTAATGGTAGAATATTTACAGATGAAAAAGTAGGAATTAGAAATTACCTGAAAAATAATATAAGGGAGGGAAGGGATGAGGGTGGAGATGAAGTAGGGCATAAGTTTCTAAGTGTTGAAGTTGGGTAATCGGTATCTGAGGTTTATTACGCTATTTTATTTTTGTACTTATGTAAAATACTCGATAATAAAATTATGTATTTTAATGTCCTGGACAAAAGGAAGTATAATGCTGTAAAAGGAAAGCTCTGTTACTGCCCAAGTAACAGTCAAGCTTTGCTGAGTACTTCTACACCCCAGTTCAGGAAGGCTATGGAAGGCAGGTATGGAACCAAATGCCACGCTTTTCCCAGCTGGAGGCACATCCTGGCCCCATCCATACAATCTCTGAAAACTCAGCCTGACTGTTGGGGTGAGGACCCCAGGGGCCACACAAATGGTCCAAAGCTTCTTGAGCCCAGGTCTGGGAAGTTTATGTAGGAGGAAAAGGGAAAGTGCTGCATCCCTCTGCAGCACCAGCAACATGGTTGTCACAGGCATAACCTGGGAACTTGTTAGAAATGTACATTCAATAGGCCCCATCTAGACCTCCTGAATCAGATGCTCTGAAGATGGTTCCCAGCATCTTTTAGGCTTTGGAGGCATGCAAACATTTAAGGAGCTTTGCTCCACAGAATTACAATTAGTAGAACTGAACTCAAATCTCACATGTATTTGTATATGCTCAGGCTATGTGAACTGGGGGAAAGTATTCACTTCTCTCAGCCTCAGCTCCATGCTTTGACAAGTAAGGAGTAGCTAGATTATAGGAACTAAATCCAAAGACATCTGTGAAAATTTAACCAGTGTTAACCACTGTGTGGACATGCACACTACAAAGCAAATGTTAGCTTCCTTTCTTCCTTTGTTTAATTCCAATTTTGAATATAACTTTACAAGTGATTAGCAGAATCAGAATTTGCAAGATCATGGTTCAAGTTCTAGCTCCATTCCCACCAGAACAAGCTCAGTCCCTCTCTGCATTCTGGCTTGCCCTATGCTTAAAAAGGAGAGAGAAACAGATGGGATCTGTGGCCCCAAGGAACCCTGCCCACCCCCACCCCACTCCCCCCAGCTCACCAATCAGCAGCTGCACAATATTGGAGCCTGCATACTTCCTCACGTCCTCGATCCAATGAGGCACTGACAGGAAGGAGCTTCTCTTGGTGATGTCATAAGCAAGAATGGCCCCGTTGGCACTGCGGTAGTAGCTCTGAGTAATGGTGCGGAATCGCTCCTGGCCAGCTGTGTCCCAGATCTGCAGCTAAAAAAATAGGGAGCTTCCCATGAACCTGGTAATATGGCTTAACATGGGGGACAGAGAGGGCAACCCCCCACACCCATTCTGAAAGTGATGGTTCCAAATGGCAAGCCATCAGCCCACACCTTGAATGGAATCACACAGAAGGTCTAGAAGGTGGACAAAGAGTGAGAGAGTGGGGCCTTCTGAGCCCTTAGAAAGTAACTCAGCGGTACCCTGGCTGGGTGACTAGGTTGGCTGGAGCATCATCCCATATACCAAAAGGCGGCATTCAATTCCTGGTCAGGGCACATACCTAGATTGTGGGTTTGATCCCCAGTCAAGGAGTGTAAAGGAGGCAACCAATTGATGTCTGTCTCTCTGTCTCTCTCCACTACTCTCTCTCTATCCTCCCTCTACTCTCCTTCCCCTCTTGAAAGAAAGAAAGAAGAAAAAAAATAAAAGAGAAGAAAAAAAAAAAAACTCTGGCCCAACTTCAAGGATGACAGGAGGATGCAAAGGGAATGTGGGCAGCCCCATCTCTGCCCTCTAGAGTCTCCAGGAAAGAAAGGTGGTGAGGAAAAGAAAGGTGGTGAGGGAACAAGGAATGTACTCTGTATTGCAACAGCAACTTCACTCGAACCAGGGTCCTCTGCATGCCCTCTCTCCTAAACACTGGGCTTGCTATGAACCAGAAGGGCTCCAGGAGCTCATAGTCAGGTAAGCTGGGTCCAGGTATGCCATGATGCTGGCTATATGGATGTCAAGTTTCTTTACCTCTCTGTGATTATAAATGTACTGCTATACCTGACCATGTGTAAGGCTCCCTCAGACCTACGGTTTTCTACTTTTGCCTCAGCAACACACATGAAGATGCTCACAACCTGGTGGTAAAAAGGCCTGGGTTGTGGCAATGAGGGCCTAGGGAAAGCAAAAGGCAGAGCTCTGCCAGGGGCCTTTACCATCAGCTGACTCAGACTGGCCTTAGGCAAGAAGGCTGGGGTCTTTTCCCACCCATGTGCCCACTTAACGAACACCCTTTAGTGCCCACTACCCAGCCTTCATGGATATTGACCATGGAGAAGCAGGAGCTTCCCTGGCTTTCCATAGAAGCAGCAATATGGCAGAATATACATGAGATAGAGCATGAGAAGGGGCTGGAGCAAGGGCAGATCTGGACCTACACTGTGCCCAAGCTAGGAGGCCTCCCACTCCAGGAAGGAGATCACCAGCTCTAGGACTGGGAGAGAGAGATCGTGAACAAGTATCAGAGCATGCAGGTACAGGGCTCTCAAAAGCTCAGGGATTGCCTTCTTTGCTCTATAAATCATAGGTTCTCAGGGCTCTCTGAGGATGAACACAAACCTTTGGTGCACACTGAGCTACAGGTCTATCCATCTTCCTTCACTGGTACAAGCACTGTCAGTGGCCCTCTATCTAGTTTTCAAGGTGTCTGAAGTCCCCTAGTCTGTCTGGGGTGGAAACACACACCTCAGAATCCTCAGTGAGTTCCTGAAGTCAAGAATAATGACCCTTGCACTGTGGAGGTGACAACTTTTCTCCCAGACCCCACCAAGAAAAGTCCGAGATTTAACAACTTCTAAACCACAACATGCCAATTAGAATCCTCCAGTCCTGAGACTTCCTATTTATTCCTCAGTTGTAAGAGGCTTCAAGGAAACCAGGCTCCATACTCCATAGCTCATGGTATTTCCTAGCTTATGCATGGGTTAAAGTAAAAGGTGTGAACTCTGGCACTACATTGTACAAACCTGGGATCCAAATGACCAAGAACTCATCTCCATACCCCAGAAGAGAGTATATAACACTAAAGACAGAGGCCAAACAAACATGGGGAAAAAGCAACTTGGAGGAAATATAAATTATGCAAAAGCAAAAACCTCAAAAACAATCATCAGTAGTTTCACAGATAGGAAAGATCTATGAAACAATAATAAAACACTTCTTTTAAAGCAGAGGGAGCATTCAGAAAGAAATAAAAAGAGCTCCTGAAAATTAAATATATAACATAAATGAAAAATACAACATAAGGGTTAGGAGATAAAGAAATCCCTCCAGAGTAAAGAAAAAATACAAAGAAAGAGAAAAGAACATTATAAAATCAGCCTAGGAGGAACAATTTGCAATAATAAGAGGTCTGGAGAGGGAGGAGTAAAATCAAAGAAATACTTCAGGAAAATCCCTCAGAAATGATTTTAAAGGCCCATTAAACATTCACAAAATGCAGGAAAACAGACCATACAAAACACATGAATGAGTGAATTCCAGAACAACAGGAAAGAAGACCCTAAAAACTTCTAGAGAGTAAAAACAGGTTTCAAGGTTTCAAGCAAAAGGTTCCCATGACATTAGATATACAATCAAACAATGCCCAAAATTACAAGGGAAAATTATTTCCAACCTAGAATTCTCTACTCAGTCTATCAGTCAGGTGCAATGGTTTATTAAGGCATTTTCAGGCATGCAAGCCTCAAAAAATTTCCCTTTCTGTCACCCTTTTTCAGGAAACTATGGAAGGTTCCTGTACCTAAAAAAAAAATCAACCAATATTAAGAAAATGTAGGCTCCTGAGAACAGAAAATTCAACTCAAAAGAGAGATAAAGGGAATCTCTTAAGACAGTGGTAGAGGGAAATCCCAAGATAACAACCAAGCACTGAACATGAACGTTAACCCATCCAGACCTCAGGGCACCAGGGCAACTTCCAGCTCTGGCATAGCAATCAACAGCAGACAAGCTTTCACTCCATAAACAACCATTAGACTGAAAAAAAATAGGAGAAGCTGCCATTTTCAGGATGTAAACAAGTGCAAAACTGTAATCCTCAAAGAAGGAAAACTCATGAAATGTATCTCATGATCACAACTCTCTGAAAGGGCAGTTTCCTAACCACAGGACAGTGGAATGGAATCTAAGCAGAGCATGGAGGAACAATGCGGGGTTGGGAAGGCTGAAAAGTCTATGTGAAGGTGTGCCCAGTGAGGACAGATACACAGGATAAGACTACCAGAATCTTGCCAGAGAGCGGCTCCTACAGGATTAAGAAGAGCAGTGCTAAGGAATGCTGAAGTTTCAACCCAGCCACAGTGATGAGACCTCGTTAGCACATTGTTAATGAACCAAATATTAAGCTGAGACTTCAGGAAGGCTGTACCCTTTGAGTGAAGACCCTGACTAGAGGAAGGCCTCCATAAATCTGCCCTAACAAAGCCTAAAACCAAGACTGGACATAAGTCTCAGGTTTGGAGACTGAGTTCTATAAAGTAATAGAGGCAAAGAAACATCCTTGAACACAAACAAAACAAAAACCAACATACATGGGTTCAAGGTAATCAGCCAGTAACTGAAATGACTACTAAGAAGAAGATAACAGAATACAGGGTCCCTACAAGATATCAACCACTATCTCCAGTATACAATCAAAAATTGCTAAACAGGAAAAATCTGACCATGGGAGTACTCACCTACTCCCATGACCACATCAAAATTACAACTAAATTATAGAACAATCAATCTGGATAACCATCTGAAGAGTAGCTGAAGAGAAGTCCAATAACTAAGGATATAAATAAGAAGGCACAACAAGGTTGGTAGGAATGGCAGAGACATGAAGTGGGCTGGCCTCAAACCCACCTGCTGCAGTTGAGAATCCTGAGATATATCTCAGCTGCACAGGTCACCCCTAATAAGGGAGGGGGTCTCAGCCCCATGTGGAGCTCCCCAACCAGTGCCCTTGGCAAAGAAGCCCATATAACAACTGGCTATGAAAATCAGCAGGGATTCTGTCCACCTGGGGAAATGTAATGCTGTTGGAAATGCAGGCAGCATCCTCTTAAAGACCCAACCCAAAAACTCGCACTCTAGGCACTCACCCTGGGCTCCAGGCAGAGGGATGGTGGCACAGGGGATGCCAGAGTCATACAGGGAGAGACACAGTCATGTGGCTTTGGGACAAGGCCTGGAGGGACAGCCTCCAAAGTTCATGTGGTGAGTCCTCTTACTGCATGGCCCAGGGAGCGCCATCTTTCCTGGTTTAAGCCCTCTCCACACAGGACAGTGGCCTGATAAACTACACTGGCTCCACCCTGGCTCAGACCCCACCCTAACCAGCATGCACACAGCCAGAGAAACTGTCAGCAACAACCAACCTAGGCCTGTGATTCTTGAAAAACTCTTTCAAGGAATTCCAGTCAAGCTCAGGGAGTGCCAGAGACAATAGGGAGAAACTGAGCTTTGTGGCTTTAAGGCAAGGGTCATCTTTTATCAGTAACGACTACAGCCTAGGCCTGCTTTGCAATCTTTCTTAAGAAACCAGCCAGGAATTTCCGTCAATCTTGAGGGGTGCTAGAGACACACAGGGAGAAACTGAGTTGTCTGGTTTCAGGGCAAGAGTTGTCTTCTCTCACAACCTTCAGGTACCACATTTGCTGTGTTAATCCCTCCCTCCACAGAGACAAATCAATAATCTGATTTAGCCTGATGAACTCTACTAGCTCCATCCTGACAACTTCCTGAGACCCCACCCCACATCAAAGGTACCAAGGCCCTAGGCAAGTGACAACTAGCTTTGGTGTACCCTGAGACTTTTGCTGAGTGGCCTCAAGGTTCTAATACACCAAGAGAGCACACATAACCCACACAAGCTCAGGGAGTGCCAGAGACAAACAGGGAGAAACTGAGTTTTGTGGTTTTAAGGCAAGGGTCATCTTTTATCCGGGAGTACCCAGCTCAGGTGATCAGAGACTGTATGACTGGGCCCCACAGGACATCAACCACATTAAGGCCATCCTACCAAGAGTAGTAGACATAGCAGATCTCTGTTATACACTGAAACAAACACAGAGAGACAGCCAAATGGGAGACAAACATGCACCAAAACAAAGAACAAGAGAAATATCCAGGGAAAAAAAAGCTAAATGAAATAGAGGAAAACAAAACAGTGGTTATAAGGATGCCCAAAGAACTTAAGAAAATTTCAACCATATAAAAAGCACACAGAAGCC